ATTTTGCATTTAAATTTATGAATCGCACGAATAACGTGTATACGAGAAAAAAATGTTGTGAGGTATGACTATTTAATGATCGTCATTTACCGACCGACCATACTCAAAAAAATTTTATGATCGGTCACGATCAAACAAATCAATTGATCATAATCTCTATTTATCGGTCTTCAGCCCATTCATTTTCCTTTCGAATTTGTTCTTCCTCTTCAGGAGTAAAATCGTTGATTATGTTGAATGTGGAGCGAATTTCCTCAGGAGACTTGCCTTTGATCATGTTGGCAACAGTCTTGCAGCCAATATCCCTGGAAATATAATAATAAACAATTCTAAATGCTTAAGAAATAATGTACAAAATAATAAAGAAAGAAAATCCTACAATAATGGTTTGATATCCAGATAATTAGCGGCCTAAAAGTTTAAATTAAAACGAAATATGTAAGGATTTTGTTTAAATAAAATACTAAATTTTATAGACAAAAGGCACAAAACTAACCAAAATGATTTCGAAAAGCATATCCTGTTCGACATTTAGGAATCTTTGGTCCCAATCATCAATCTCTGTATTTCTCCGGCGAGAATCATCATCATCATTAGTAGGTTGCGGGTCATTAACGTGATGTTCGCACCATTCGAGAACCTTGAACATACAAACAATTTAATCTTATGTTGAAAATGTAAAACATCTGCTTAGATTACATTTACTCTCTTTTGGTGTCAATGTACCTTTTTTAAAACTTTTTCGCTGACGTTAGGAAGAGGGATTGATTGATCGCTTTCACCGACGTCTATTTTGTAGAAATGCGTTAATATGTTATGTAACTCTCTTAAAGAATTTTGAAAGGTGTTGCAACACGTGAGCAAAAATTAAATATTTATTTGCCCCTTATTTTTCACGACTTTGCTCACGAACTTAAGTGCGTTCTATAATATTCTTAGAGAAAATAAACTTTACGAATAGATGCCTTCAATCATATTCTTGAGCAAGATGGAACGACTGGCGACAGGTATGTCGACTTTGAACTCGACATCGTCACAACTTTTCAAGGTAACTTTCTTAGTTTCGCTGGCTTCCTCACTAGTACTGGTACTCATTTTAACTAGAATTTAAAATTTTTGTATAATTCTCTGTTGTTCTGTAGGTATAAGCTTTCAAAACCCTTTGACAAACTGTCGATTAAAGGAGTTTCCGGTCGCACGCCAACAAATAAAAAATTGTTGATTAATTATAATAATCGGGAGTTTACTGCGGAAATTTGTGTATGACAATTTGCGTAATTGCACTCCAAT